TAGATATTCCAGATAAAATAATAATAATAATAATAATTAATTATAAGACTAACTTTAAGAGAATTTCCTTTCTACTTTCCCCATTTATATATAAAGGATTCTTATATGTTATTATCTTGACGAGTTTATTTTTTCTTTAATGTGTTCTTTTATTTTAAGTTTTTATACATTAATATTATTAGCTTCATATATTTTTCATTTTGGTAATTTAACTTTTTTCTTGCTTTTAATCGTTGTTTAAAAAGGGAATAAAAAGGCATTAAAAATTTGAGTTGTGATGACCAAACACCTTTTGTATATTTAGGTTTTTATATTATTATTATTTATTTATTTCACCTCATATTCTTTCACTCCATCAATAAAAAAGTTATTACTTTAAGGATATCAATCCGATGTTTGTAAAATTTGAGGTATTAGTTAATTTTTTCTTAAAAATTTGAACCTTATGGTCTACGGTCGGTTTCTGCCTATGAATGAGATAGATGTGACATGCTTGTGTGCAATGAAATAATATATATACAGGGTTTTTTTTTACATACTGGGTAAAACAAAAGTTCATTTTTACGTGGATAAGGTGAAATTGGCAAAAAATTATGGATATGGGTGAATTCATGCTTCAAGGACGAATTTGTTGATGAGTAGCAAAATTTTAGTTGAACGTCATTTCTTTTATATAAACACTTTATAATATCTCTTCTAAAATAAAGTGGGACTTAAAGGAAACAAAACATTAAAAAAAAATAAGGATTTTCAATCAAGTAACATATATCTTCACACAAAAGGTAAAGTTGTAAGCTTTTATTTTTGGTTTCAACTATTAAGAATATAAAAATATATAAATTCTTAAATATGCATAAAAGAAAGAAACGTGAAATTTAAATTGAACCATATTTTTATTAATACTTGTTAAATGTTAAATTAATCTCATATGTCCTAGGATATTGAAGGTTGGAAAGGAGATCCACTAAATATATAACCTATTGTGTAGTTTTCTCAACGTATTTATATAAAAATTTAACCGTGAAACTTGCTTAATTAGTTTTACCAAAATTTCACTTATCTTCAATTATTTTTCTTTTATTCTCTTAGACAAGAAACCTTTTCTATTTAGTAAATTGACTGTATAATGAATTATAAATCTTAAAATCTGATTTTTTTTATAGATTTTAAAATGATCTATTTTGTTTCTAGAAATATCATTATAAAACACATCACAAAATTAATTTTAATTGATATATTGAAGGAATTATGAGTGAAAAAAAATTGTCATAGCATATTTCATTATAAATATCATCGAAACTCAAAGAATTTATTATTAATAGGAGATTTAGTGATATATTATGACATCTTACAAATTCTCACCTATTCGCTAAAGCAAAACTAAGTTCACTTATCTTCTTGAGAGGGAAGAGAGCCACATCACCCCAATTTTTTCTTTAACATATATTGCCAGTTAATTTTTATAAAATAAATGGTTTTCAAACACACGCTTTAAGTGGATTTTTGCACATTACTAAGTGAGACTCAAGTGAGACTCACCTCACCTTTAAACGGTGGACATTTGAGTGAATTTATTTGTCTATATGTTGATCATTTTAAATTACATTGTAACCGCACTTAAATGATATATAAATCCATTTTGACTTAAGTGTGAGTAGTTTGAAGAGAGATTTTACTCGCTTATGCAAGATTTTACATTTGTAATGTTTTAAAATCAATCAATATGGTATAAAATTTTAAGCACATTTTACATATTTTTTTTTATAATTTATTTCTTGTTATATTTTAATAATTTCAAATATATTTATGAGTAAGTTTTTCTTGTTATTATTCTCAACTATGAAGTTTTTATTTATTAGCATAATAGAAATGAAGCATTTGAAATATTTTTGTATTTTGGTATATTTTAATAAATTAAGAATTTTTATTAATAGTTGATTGATCTTTAACTTTAGAATCTCATTTTATTATATTGATTTGAGTAAATATTATTTATGGGTTTAGAGTAGTATCTTCATAAGGAAAAATAAAAAAAGTACATGAGATAAAGTAAAAAAAGAAAAAAGTACAAAATGAAAGAATAATAACAAAATAGGTTCATTGTTAGTGGTAATAATGGTAGTATCATCGTCTCCATCTTCAATTCTTTATGTGTAGTATGTCTCAATTATATATGGTTGGTCATGCAACATGACAAGTAAAATACTAACTAGGTGAGACACAATAAAATATCATAGGAAAAATAGTATTCAACCCCACAATTATATATAATGCAAGTGTCCATGATTATATTTGATGAGTCCATACCTAATAAGGACGGAGAATAATGTCTTAGAAGAATAACTAGATACATAATTAAAAGGATATACCTCATTACCTCCCTCCTTTTTCTTTTTATTTTCTATTGTCTTTATTTCTTGAGTTTTATTGAGTTAATGTTTAATTATTGAATTGTAGGTTTATTCTTGACCTCTCCTTTTACTTTGAGAGGTCTTTTCTTTAAAGAATGTACAAAGAGCTTCTACAGTGGATTTAGAGGCACCTAACCCATGTATTGGTTAGACTAAGGTTATGTTTGGTTGGAGTGATTTGAGAGAGTGGAAATGGAGGAATTTGAAGAAAAATAGAGGTGAAATTAAAGTTGTTTGGATGAATGGAAAGTGAAAGAAAAGTTTATGGAAAATTGTGAGTGATTTAATTGATATGAGATATAAAAGTTATAATTTTAATTGATTATTGAAGAAAATTACTATTTTACCCTTGTGTATAAAATAAAGTTAAAATTATTATAAATATAATTTTTAAATTAATTATCCATATTTTAACATTGATTATATATTTAAAAGAAAAAACAAATTTAAAAGTGTTTGTAAGTGGAAACAAATTTAAAAAATTAATTTTTTTAAATAGTTATTAAAATATATAAATAAATAATTACAAAATTATTTACATTGCATATCCATAAAAAAATAATTTTGACATATTAAATAAATTATTTGACTAATAATTAAATAATAATAAAATATAAAATAATAATTAATATTGACTAATAATAACAAATAATTATGAAAACTAATAATATAATTGTAAATTATTATTTTAAATAAATATAAAATATAGTGAAAATAAAATAATAACTAAATGAAAATTTCATGTAAATTTAATAGTAAAAATATTTTATTTCCAACTTTACATCATTTGTCATTACAAGCTTATCATGACACTTATGGCAAATGTACTATCTACTTTTCTGGGTCGATTGCAGGCACCACCGTGCGCATTCTTCTCGATGGTGGCAGTTCTGACAACTTCATTCAGATGGAGAAGATTCCGAAAAGGAAATCTCAATCCAATCGCTGGGTGAATAACGAGTGAAGAGCTCCTGAATGAATCTTAAAGTATTTTGAGATCTTTATAGCAGATCATTCAATCACTTCCACTCAAGAACATGAACAACTGGGAGAGACGAAGATGTGAGGGCAAGTCAAAAAGTCGTCTAACATGTGATTCGTGAGTACACAAATGATTATAACACTGAAGCATAAGTTGCTCGTCATTTAGGTTCATGCCGACTAACATGTCCCATATATCTGACTCGGAATGTTCAAATGTTATTGATCGTCTCATCACATTAACTTGCTCATTAATTAAATCATTTCTGCGTTCAATGGCGACCACCTGTCTTTCAGCTATGTCAGATAATCGTTGGGTCAATGTATTACCTTGGCCAAGGTAATCTGTAAATGTGTCCAGCCTCGTTGTTAGTTTGTCAAATTGACCTTCCATCACATCAACCATAGGCGTTTTCTTTTTGTGCCCCGAGATGAAGAGGTTCCACCGAACCGATAGATGCAACAGATGGCAATGATCGAGCACCCTCGGCAGGACTCGTCGGAACCCATGCGTGGAGGTGATCGATAAGTTGTATCAAATCCCGCATCAAAGCCAAAGTGAAATGGTCGCTCCTCCGGTGTGGGGTCCACATCAACGTTCAAGTCGATTGTTGCCCTTCGAGAACTGATAATACATAAAATACCACTATAACTACATTCGTAATTATGGTGGTAAAAAAAATGTTTATTAAAAAAGTATATCCTAAATTCAATCAAGTTTTATATTTTAGTGATTTAAATGAATTTAGTTGAAATCTATTTTACAAAACAATAATTATATTTTGAAAAATAAAAATAATATTATAACTAATATATATATATATATATATATACATATATATTTAAAATTATTATATCTTAAACATAAATTTTAAAAATATTTTATTCTTAATTTTTTTAATTTACTTTTTTTAAGAAAAATCAAGAAACCTTTTATAATCGCATCAAAACTTAAATTATAGTTTATTTAAAATATAATCGAAACAATAGTTGTGTTTCATTTTATTTTTTAAATATTTTATTCTAATTTTCAAATGTAAATGATTGCGTGAGTGTAATAGTGTGAAATGTTAGGCGAGTGTGGAAAGTACTTTATATGATACACTAGGTTTTATGATATACCAAATGAATAATTCTAAAGAGGAAAAATTATATCTTAACCCTTCTTCTTAATCAAACACATTCAATAATTCAATTATAGTATTATAATAATACTTTTTTTTAAGAAAAATATAGATTGATGATCGTTATTTAGTATAAACCTATTATACTATATAATATAATTATTATTATATAATATAATGGATTGTAAATAAATGATATCTAATATACCTAATTTTTAAATTTATTGGTATAGAATAATTGTGTGGAGAGAAAAATAATTGTATATGAATCATCACTTTTATAAAAAATATTTCTATAGATAAAATGATTGTTAATATTTTTAAAATTATGTACAATCAAATACTAATTTCATGTTGCAATTTGCATTACAACAGTGACATGATTTTGAAACTGGACGCAATGTAAAACCATAAAACTTTCACCAAGAGAAAATTACGGATAAACTTTGACTAAAGTAAGCACAATTACATACATCAACAAACCCTAAATAGCAGAGTGAACGATGAAGAGGGGAAAAGGAGTAATTACCCGAGGCGGAGGAAGGGTGGCGAGGAGATCGATAATGAAATCGGACTTGAGGTAGCGCGAGGCTATATCGCGAGGGTCGGTGACGAGTTCTTTGCGGCCATAAACGCGAGAGGTGGGGGAGATATAGGCGGTGCGAAACTTGAGCACCATGTGGAAAAGGAAGAAAAGGTCGGCGACGGTGCGCGAGAACGTGACGAAGACTCCGAGGACGATGTCGGTTTGCATGCAGGCCTTGTCCCCGTGATGGGGAAATAGAAGTAGAGAGGGTCCAGGAACAACGCCACGATGCACACGTAGAGGAACGTGCGGTTCCATTTCGCCACGAACTTCGATCGAGGGTCCAAGATTTGGTACCACCATGGCACTTTCTTTCGCGAGAGAAGGATTTCGGGAAGCTGTCGAAGTGGGATGAAACTGCGAATCGATAGAAATCGCTGCTCATGGTTGCTCTTTCTTTTCTTCTCTCATCACCATGCAACCAACCCACCCCAAAAATCGAATATCGTGATGTCACAATACAATTGAAACTTTCTTGGAAAATTACCGGGGAAGAGAGAGAAAAGGATTCCAAAAAGTGGAGGAGACAAACCGGAGAGGATAATAGGATGGACTTTAAATTAAGAAAGAACGTCCAAAAATATAGCAACACACGAGTTCATCTTATTGCATGCGTCATTCGCAGTTGCGGATCTTCTTGGGAGCTGAGGGGGCCGTCGCCCATGTAATTAATGATTTTGGCCCCCCCAAACATAATGAGTATTTAATATATTTACTTGTATATTTACAATTTTATCCTCCGAGCCCTCCTCGCGTTTGTAACTTTCATATAATTTATGATTTTGTTTCCCTCAAACTTAATGATAATTTAATATATTTAAGTATATATCTACAATTTTATCTTTTCAACCTTTCATATTCTTTCTTCCTTTTATATTTATTTATTATTTATTAATAATATATTATTTGGCCCCCCAAGATCAATGGTCAAGATCCGCCACTGGTCATTCGTGCCTTATGTTGCTCTTTTTTAATTACGTCATGCTAAAATATTTCATTTCAGATGGTACTTCAACAAGAAATTTAAAAGCTTCTTAGTTATTGAATCAGGAATGAAGTTTTTACTATATAGGTTGTGCAGACGGATATTTATAAATTAGGTTGATTATGTCCTCCATTATTAAATGTAAAAGAATTTAATTAGAGTTGACGTATGTGATTTTATTTTATTTTATATTTGATTTATTTTTAATTTGACATAATTTTCTTTGTGTGTTTCTTTAAGTATGTTAGATATTCCAGATAAAATAATAATAATAATAATAATTAATTATAAGACTAACTTTAAGAGAATTTCCTTTCTACTTTCCCCATTTATATATAAAGGATTCTTATATGTTATTATCTTGACGAGTTTATTTTTTCTTTAATGTGTTCTTTTATTTTAAGTTTTTATACAATATTATTAGCTTCATATATTTTTCATTTTAGTAATTTAACTTTTTTCTTGCTTTTAATCGTTGTTTAAAAAGGGAATAAAAAGGCATTAAAAATTTGAGTTGTGATGACCAAACACCTTTTGTATATTTAGGTTTTTATATTATTATTATTTATTTATTTCACCTCATATTCTTTCACTCCATCAATAAAAAAGTTATTACTTTAAGGATATCAATCCGATGTTTGTAAAATTTGAGGTATTAGTTAATTTTTTCTTAAAAATTTGAACCTTATGGTCTACGGTCGGTTTCTGCCTATGAATGAGATAGATGTGACATGCTTGTGTGCAATGAAATAATATATATACAGGGTTTTTTTTTACATACTGGGTAAAACAAAAGTTCATTTTTACGTGGATAAGGTGAAATTGGCAAAAAATTATGGATATGGGTGAATTCATGCTTCAAGGACGAATTTGTTGATGAGTAGCAAAATTTTAGTTGAACGTCATTTCTTTTATATAAACACTTTATAATATCTCTTCTAAAATAAAGTGGGACTTAAAGGAAACAAAACATTAAAAAAAAAAATAAGGATTTTCAATCAAGTAACATATATCTTCACACAAAAGGTAAAGTTGTAAGCTTTTATTTTTGGTTTCAACTATTAAGAATATAAAAATATATAAATTCTTAAATATGCATAAAAGAAAGAAACGTGAAATTTAAATTGAACCATATTTTTATTAATACTTGTTAAATGTTAAATTAATCTCATATGTCCTAGGATATTGAAGGTTGGAAAGGAGATCCACTAAATATATAACCTATTGTGTAGCTTTCTCAACGTATTTAAATAAAAATTTAACCGTGAAACTTGCTTAATTAGTTTTACCAAAAATTCACTTATCTTCAATTATTTTTCTTTTATTCTCTTAGACAAGAAACCTTTTCTATTTAGTAAATTGAATGTATAATGAATTATAAATCTTAAAATCTGATTTTTTTTATAGATTTTAAAATGATCTATTTTGTTTCTAGAAATATCATTATAAAACACATCACAAAATTAATTTTAATTGATATATTGAAGGAATTATGAGTGAAAAAAAATTGTCATAGCATATTTCATTATAAATATCATCACAAACTCAAAGAATTTATTATTAATAGGAGATTTAGTGATATATTATGACATTTTACAAATTCTCACCTATTCGCTAAAGCAAAACTAAGTTCACTTATCTTCTTGAGAGGGAAGAGAGCCACAGCACCCCAATTTTTTCTTTAACATATATTGCCAGTTAATTTTTATAAAATAAATGGTTTTCAAACACATGCTTTAAGTGGATTTTTGCACATTACTAAGTGAGACTCAAGTGAGACTCACCTCACCTTTAAACGGTGGACATTTGAGTGAATTTATTTGTCTATATGTTGATCATTTTAAATTACTTTGTAACCGCACTTAAATGATATATAAATCCATTTTGACTTAAGTGTGAGTAGTTTGAAGAGAGATTTTACTCGCTTATGCAAGATTTTATATTTGTAATGTTTTAAAATGAATCAATATGGTTTAAAATTTTAAGCACATTTTACATATTTTTTTTATAATTTATTTCTTGTTATATTTTAATAATTTCAAATATATTTATGAGTAAGTTTTTCTTGTTATTATTCTCAACTATGAAGTTTTTATTTATTAGCATAATAGAAATGAAGCATTTGAAATATTTTTGTATTTTGGTATATTTTAATAAATTAAGAATTGTTATTAATAGTTGATTGATCTTTAACTTTAGAATCTCATTTTATTATATTGATTTGAGTAAATATTATTTATGGGTTTAGAGTAGTATCTTCATAAGGAAAAATAAAAAAAGTACATGAGATAAAGTAAAAAAAAGAAAAAAGTACAAAATGAAAGAATAATAACAAAATAGGTTCATTGTTAGTAGTAATAATGGTAGTATCATCGTCTCCATCTTCAATTCTTTATGTGTAGTATGTCTCAATTATATATGGTTGGTCATGCAACATGACAAGTAAAATACTAACTAGGTGAGACACAATAAAATATCATAGGAAAAATAGTATTCAACCCCACAATTATATATAATGCAGTGTCCATGATTATATTTGATGAGTCCATACCTAATAAGGACGGAGAATAATGTCTTAGAAGAATAACTAGATACATAATTAAAAGGATATACCTCATTACCTCCCTCCTCTTTCTTTTTATTTTCTATTGTCTTTATTTCTTGAGTTTTATTGAGTTAATGTTTAATTATTGAATTGTAGGTTTATTCTTGACCTCTCCTTTTACTTTGAGAGGTCTTTTCTTTAAAGAATGTACAAAGAGCTTCTACGAGTGGATTTAGAGGCACCTAACCCATGTATTGGTTAGACTAAGGTTATGTTTGGTTGGAGTGATTTGAGAGAGTGGAAATGGAGGAATTTGAAGAAAAATAGAGGTGAAATTAAAGTTGTTTGGATGAATGGAAAGTGAAAGAAAAGTTTATGGAAAATTGTGAGTGATTTGATTGATATGAGATATAAAAGTTATAATTTTAATTGATTATTTAAGAAAATTACTATTTTACCCTTGTGTATAAAATAAAGTTAAAATTATTATAAATATAATTTTTTAATTAATTATCCATATTTTAACATTGATTATATATTTAAAAGAAAAAACAAATTTAAAAGTGTTTGTAAGTGGAAACAAATTTAAAAAATTAATTTTTTTTAAATAGTTATTAAAAAATATATAAATAAATAATTACAAAATTATTTACATTGCATATCCATAAAAAAATAATTTTGACATATTAAATAAATTATTTGACTAATAATTAAATAATTATAAAATATAAAATAATAATTAATATTGACTAATAATAACAAATAATTATGAAAACTAATAATATAATTGTAAATTATTATTTTAAATAAATATAAAATATAGTGAAAATAAAATAATAACTAAATGAAAATTTCATGTAAACTTAATAGTAAAAATATTTTATTTCCAACTTTACATCATTTGTCATTACAAGCTTATCATGGCACTTATGGCAAATGTACTATCTACTTTTCAGGTCGATTGCGAGCACCACCGTGCGCATTCTTCTCGATGGTGGCAGTTCTGACAACTTCATTCAGATGGAGAAGATTCCGAAAAGGAAATCTCAATCCAATCGCTGGGTGAATAACGAGTGAAGAGCTCCTGAATGAATCTTAAAGTATTTTGAGATCTTTATAGCAGATCATTCAATCACTTCCACTCAAGAACATGAACAACTGGGAGAGACGAAGATGTGAGGGCAAGTCAAAAAGTCGTCTAACATGTGATTCGTGAGTACACAAATGATTATAACACTGAAGCATAAGTTGCTCGTCATTTAGGTTCATGCCGACTAACATGTCCCATATATCTGACTCGGAATGTTCAAATGTTGTTGATCGTCTCATCACATTAACTTGCTCATTAATTAAATCATTTCTGCGTTCAATGGCGACCACCTGTCTTTCAGCTATGTCAGATAATCGTTGGGTCAATGTATTACCTTGGCCAAGGTAATCTGTAAATGTGTCCAGCCTCGTTGTTAGTTTGTCAAATTGACCTTCCATCACATCAACCATAGGCGTTTTTCTTTTTGTGCCCCGAGATGAAGAGGTTCCACCTGAACCAGTAGACGCAACAGATGGCAATGACTGAGCACCCTCAGCAGGACTGTCGGAACCCATGCGTGGAGGTGATCGATAAGTTGTATCAAATCCTGCATCAAAGCCAAAGTGAAATGGCTGCTCCTCTGGTGTGGGGTCCACATCAACGTTCAAGTCGACTGTTGCCTTTCGAGAACTGATATTCACTCGGGACTGACGCGAAGTTCTTGCCATATGTCCAGTGGCTCGATCAGCACCCCAAAATTCTTCCATCAAATCATAATACTTTACAGTTGACAGTTTCCATTTAGCTGCAGAAGGCTTCGCCTACAAATTAATGAAAATGGTTAACACTCGTAATTGTTATGTTTTGCTATATCAACAAATGATAATTCATATAATAGTACCTTGATTGGGTCATCCCATACTTCTTGCTCAGCCATAAACCGTTTTGTGATATCATCCCAAGCGAATCCACTAAGTCCATGAAACAAATCGTGGACCTCCCGCCATCTATCCTTAAGACTTTTTTGTCGATTTTTAACATTATTTTTAGTTATACCAATTAATCTAGACTGTCTTAGGGATTCAACTATATTATTATATGCTTGGGTTGTCCAACTACCATCAACCCGATTACCCAACCTTGCCTCATGAAGCATAGCAGTCAACAACCGAAAGTCCATGTCATCAGTCCATTTTGTAAACTCGCGCACTACGGTTGACGAATTCGGTGCAATATCCTTTCCTCTGTTCATTTTAAACCTATTGGAAAGATAATATATGTAATTACGATACCAACATATAATTATTATAAATAGATAATCGTAATGTAATCGTATTTCAATAATAACAATAGTACATCTCATTAAATATATTGTTACATACAAAATCTAATGACTTTGATAATCTATCCACATTTGATTTGCTATAGTATCTCTTAAGTTTGACCCTTCCCTATAATCCTCTTCCCGAACTTGAGTCGACATATTATCCACATCTTGTTCCATCAACTCTCGATCCACTTCAACTAACAGTGATTCATCGTTGTCTATTCCTCGAAGAAAATTGTGTAGAATGCAACATGCTAGGACTATATCCGTCATTGTATCAAATGAATAATGAGGCTTTGTTCCACTAGCTATTATAGGAAATCTTTTCTTCAAAATTCCAAATGTTCTTTCAATTACATTTCTAAGAGACGAATGTCGATGGTTAAACAATTCTCGGGGGTTTTGTGGAGCTCGTCGAGAATACTCTTTAAGGTGGTATCTAATGCCTCGATAAGGGGTCATTATGTTTGCTTTTAACATAAATCCAGCATCCCCCAAGTAGTATTTACCTATTTAAAATCATTGAAGTTATACTAATTAGAATATTTAAACTAGTTGACTATACACAAAATCCCCACGTTATAAATAATAAACCTTGTGGTATGATAAGGCGATCCTCTCTCGTAAGAACATCCTTTAATATTCTTGAATCAGATGTTGTTCCTTCTCACCTTGCTAGAACATATGTGAATTTCATGTTGAAATCACAAGTTGCAAATACGTTTTGTGTTGGCCAATCTTTTCTTCCATGAAAACGAGGGGCATCGGATCTTGCGACTTTAACTCGAACATGAGTTCCTTCTATTGCCCCTAAACAATCCTAATTGGTAAAAAAATTTATTGTCATTAAAGTTTAGATAATCTATGTGTATGTTATATAGACACAAAGTTGGTAAGTAGATTACCTTAAAGTATGGGTAAAATCGGTTGTTGTTTAATATATATGGACACACATCCCTTCCTAATGGTTGAACAATTAATTGTTTGTCCAACATTATTATCGCATTCAACACGTTATGAAAGTGTCGACTAACGGTTTCACCTGATCGATGGAAAAAAAAAATGAAACAGTTCGATTTTTAACGTTATGTCCGATAATATGGAGAAATTTAGCCACTTGTTCTTCCACTGTTGATTGTAACCCATCGTTTACTAATCCAGTTGTCCTTACTCGTTGACATAAGTTAATGAATGCCTCCGGTCCCATGCGAATAATGTCACGAGATTGTTCAGTATGAATAAGGTATGACATCAACTCGTGCAGACGACGTTCTTTTTCAGAAATAAAGTCCCTAATGTGACCGCTACTACAAGTTACCATAGACAACATATTTAATCCATAAGCTATCAAACAAAGAATTGTCATCGCTCCTACTTCACTTCACTTTTTTATCTCACTTTGTATATGTGAAATTATGTTTATATCCGAGACCGAGTATCTATATCGTCATTGTCTAAACCAATGACCTCGATGTTTTTGTCTGCCATCACGCAAAATATATATATATATATATATGTATATATATATGTATATATATATATATATGTATATATATATATATATGTATATATATATATATGTATATATATATATATAAAATTAATTAATGTTTAATGGAAGTAATTCAAAATTACCATCTCGCAAACCAATATCACAAAACCAAAAATTATTTACATAACTACTAATAATTATTTTTCTCTAATATTTTTACTTCTTTTTTAACAAATTCTCATTTATATAAATTTTTTTCTTTTCTCAATTTTACATACTCCATTTATTATAAAAATAATAAATTTATTTTTTGAATATAACTATATTTAACTTTTTTTCCTTCTTTAATTATGCATTAATATTGTCTGTCCTAATTTTTACTAAATTTGTTTCATGTATCTCTCAATTATTTTTTTCTTTTCAGTATATATAAAAAAATTCAAAATTTCCATATAATAATTATAATTGCAAAAACAGGGATATTGGTTCCAGTTTTTCGTTCCAATTTTTGCTTCCATCATTCCCGAGTTTTGCTTCCAAGATGCATATGCAGTAGCTACCAATTTTGACCTCAATCATGCATGGAGTACAATACCAGTAGACCAGTTTCAGGTTGCAACCATGGAAAACAACATATGAACCATACCTGTGGGAGAAGATATGAACCATATATGAACGAAGCTCTTTGTAGGACAAGCTGATGGCGAACTTGACGGTGCCCCTAAGATACAGCCTACAACAACAACATAACCAATGCACAAGTCAGAAACCATGGTCGTATGGTGCCCATTTTTTGTTGGAGTGGAGGAGGTTTGACCATGTTTTATACCTCAAATCTGAATGGTCACACACACTCTTATGCATGCACACAGACTCCAAAAACAAACGTACCAACCAAGTTTGAGGTTCTAACCATGACAGAGAAGACATAGAACCATACCTGGGGTGTTCCTCCGACAAGATACCAAGCAAGCTGTTGGTGGGACAAGGTCACACCGAAGTTGATGGCCGCCGGCGAAGATCCAACCTACAACACAATTACAATATGGAATAGAGTCTTTTAGCTAGTCTTATGAGACTAGCTTTGCTTTATATAATACATTAACTTTCCCTATCAGCTGTAACTAGAGAAGAAAGGTGAAGCTGTGAACACGTGAAGTTGGCTGCACAGCCCGTGACCTCTGCATGTATAGCCCGTGAACACGTTAAAGCTGTGAACACGTGAAGCTATGATTAAATTTTTTTATTTTTATACTTTATTTGATATTGTAATATTTTTTTAGAAATTAATAATAAATTACGAGGAAAATAGATATAAAAAGAAATAATATTTTTATGTAAAATTAAAATAAATTATATTTTAGAATATATATATATATATATATATATATATATATATATATATTAGTTAATTTTGCTTTCTTATCAAAATAAAAAAAAATCTATTTAGGATTAGATAGCGGTTGTAGATTTAACCGCTATCTAAAACGTATTTTAGATAGCGGTTGTACATTTAACCGCTATCTAAAACATGTTTAGATAGCGGTTAACGTGGAACCGCTATCATATATCAATGTCCAGGTCCATTATAATCGATTAAATTTTTAAATGATCGATTATATTCGAAATTTTTTCAAATAATTAATTATAATCGATTAGTTTTTAAATAATTGATTAGAATTGATTAGTTTTTCAAATAATAGATTATAATTGATTAATTTCTCAAATATACATTAAATTAAAATAAAAAAAATTATTTTTCAATTATATATTATAAAAATTATAATTATATAATTAAAATAATATATCTATATAATTTTATAATGTTTTATATAAAATTTATAGTTTTAAATATAGTTTTAAAAAGAAGTATGTATTTATTAGATTAATAATATATTTAGAATTATGGTTGAAAGTAGTAAAATATAATTTTTATTTGTATGATTAAATTTTTTAATTTTTTACTTTATTTGATATTGTAATATTTTTTTATAAGTGACCCATATATGAATAATTAATTAGAATAAATTAGAATAAATGTTAACCGATCTTATAAATTAATTATATATATATATATATATTTTGCGTAAATTAGAATAATAATTATCAACTTGAAAATAATTTATATTTAATATATATATATATATAGTGTAAAATATAATTTTATTTTATTTCTATAATATATATAAATGAAAATAAGTTATAATTTGGAATATATATTTTATATTATAGTAATTAAAATAAATTATATTTTAGAATATATATATATATATATATATATATATTAGTTAGTTTTGCTTTCTTATAAAAAAAAATCTATTTAGGATTAGATAGCGGTTGTAGATTTAACCGCTATCTAAAACGTATTTTAGATAAGCGGTTGTACATTTAACCGCTATCTAAAACATGTTTAGATAGCGGTTAATGTGGAACCGCTATCATATATCAATGTCCAGGGTTAAATTTTCGGATGATCGATTATATTCGAAATTTTTTTCAAATATTTAATTATAATCGATTAGTTTTTTAAATAATTGATTAGAATTGATTAGTTTTTCAAATAATAGATTATAATTGATTAATTTCTCAAATATACATTAAATAAAAATAATTTTTTTTCAATTATATATTATAAAAATTATAATTATATAATTAAAAAAATATATCTATATAATTTTATAATGTTTTATATAAAATTTATAGTTTTAAATATAGTTTTAAAAAGAAGTATGTATTTATTAGATTAATAATATATTTAGAATTATGGTTGAAAGTAGTAAAATATAATTTTTATTTGTATGATTAAATTTTTTTAATTTTTTACTTTATTTGATATTGTAATATTTTTTTATAAGTGACCCATATATGAATAATTAATTAGAATAAATGTTAACCGATCTTATAAATTAATTATATATATATATATATATATATATTTTTTTTTTTGCGTAAATTAGAATAATAATTATCAACTTGAAAATAATTTATATTTAATATATATATATATATAGTGTAAAATATAATTTTATTTTATTTCTATAATATATATATATATATATAAATGAAAATAAGTTATAATTTGGAATATATATTGTATATTATAGTAATTAAAATAAATTATATTTTAGAATATATATATATATATATATATATATATATATATATATATATATTAGTTAGTTTTGCTTTCTTATAAAAAAAAATCTATTTAGGATTAGATAGCGGTTGTAGATTTAACCGTTATCTAAAACGTATTTTAGATAGCGGTTGTACATTTAACCGCTATCTAAAACATGGTTAGATAGCGGTTAACGTGGAACCTCTATCTACAAAATATTTTATATAGCGGTTTTGGATTTAAGCGCTATCTTAAACGTATTTTAGATAGCGGTTACATGTATAACCGCTATCTAAAATCTGGATTATTTGCTAAAGTAATCGATTATTTGAAAAATTATATATTCTAAAATATAATTTATTTTAATTTCTATAATATATATATAAATGAAAATAAGTTATATTTTGAAATATATATTTTATATTATAGTAATTAATATAAATTATATTTTCTCAACTTTTTGCGAGAGATTCTTAAGAATCTCTCGCATGCAGGCACTAGTGAATCTTGCGAGTGAGGGTAAGTTGGACATTTCAATTTGTCCAGGGGGCTTTCATCTCATTTCTTCGTGCATCGACGAAGAACCTCTTTCTCCTATCTCCCGCTTTTCCTCGCTTTCATTTCGTCGTATTTTTGTTCAATCAAACGTGTGTCATCTTCGTGTTTCTATCTTCGTGAACAGTATATCAGTAGAAACAAGCAAAGCGTGATTGGACACAATTAGGATAGGGATGACATCCCTTATCCTTCTAGAATATGCATTTAATAAGATTTTTGGATTGTAGTTGCCTTTAGGTTCTCTCCTTGGCTATTTGAGAGATTCTCTCCTCTCTTATTTTACGTTATGGCATTTTTTTACTTTTTTTTTTTTCATATTAAAACTCATAAAATTCCTCATTCCCAACTCTTAACAAGGAGAACTAAGTTGTCAATATTTATGGAGGTTCTAGGTTTTCCCTTAATTACTATATTATTATCTTGTATTAATTATATTTTTTATAGACAACAAAATATACACTAATCAATCATTTAAGTCAATTTCTATTAAATAAATTACAAAAATAGAACAAAATTGGATAAATTGCACATCACATAATATTGAGAGGCTCGTGAGATGGAAGACAAATATGGGGAGAGCAATCAAAATTTTAGTAAGTTACTATAACACATGACAATGAAAATAAAAACAATTGATATCTTTTTTCAATAATTATGTTTAAGGACTTGGTCCATACAAATACCATGATTATGACATATAAGAGGGGAAAAAAAACTATGTACAACGTATTGAAGTTATGTATATCATAATTGTCCATTTAGAAAAAGAAATTAAGTTATCTTTATAATATTTATATAATTCATTTTATTTTTATTAACATTCACATGTCTTCGTTCAACATATCTCTTCCTATTAATCCATTTAAAAGTCTTCTCAAAAGAATACCAGACAAATCACATGATTGAAAGACTTACCTAGGATAAGCTACACATAATCATTGATTCTCGGACTAGGACTGGGAAGTTGCCACGTGGACATCATCCTTATTAATAAACATGTATTATTTTATAGTATTAATTAACATGTTACTTGATTTTGGTATAATTATGACTATGATTAGTATGTTATGTGTAGGATTAGAAACCTTAGGATCAAGTTACATAATATTTATTATTACACTTTAAGAAATTTGTGTATTGCAGACGGATATTTATCGACAGATTTATAGTCATCAAAAAATAATCATTACCGACGAAAATTACCAACGGATATAAAATATTTGTGGAATTTGATGTTACCGAACGGATATATTCGTCGATAAAATAATAATTAATTACAACGAGATATATCTGTTGATAAATTCATCAAGTAATTTATAGATGAATTTACCGACAAAAATATTCGATCGATAAATCCTTCGATAAATTAACAATTAATTACCGAACGGATGTATCCGATCGGTAAATTTATCTGTAAATTAACAATTATTTACCAACGGATATTTCAGTCAATAAATTAACAATTATTTACCAACGGATATATCCGTCGGTAAAATTATATAATATAATTTAATTATTCACCTAATTAAAAAATAAAATATTTTTTATTTAATAATTTTAATTTAATCATAATTAGATTAATTTATAATAATTTATTAAATTAAATAATTTAAAAAAATAAATATATCAATATATAAAAATATATAAAAATATATATAAATATATAAATATATTTTTATATAAATATATTTTTATATAAATATAATTTATTTGTAAATTGTTATCAAAAAATTCTAGTAGCTTAGTGGTTGGAGTATCAGCCTCCAATTCTAAAATATTGGATTCGAATCCTGCCATATAAAGTAGAGGGGTTTTATAAAAAAAAATACTATAAATAAGTACATTTTTTAATAAATAAATCTTGCCAATAACATTTCTCTAAATCTAATAATAATTCAAAGCTATAAAAATATAATATGAAGAAATAATAAATAATAAGAATATAAAGGAGAGGAGTTTTATAAAAAAAAATGCTATAAATAAGTACATTTTTTAATAAATAATAAAATTATTACCGATGGACTTGTCCAGTCGAGTAATATTTACCGACAACCAAATTTTCGACGGATTTTTGGCCGTCGGAATTCAGTCGGTAATATTCATTTACCGATGGATTTTTGTTATTACCGACGGATTTTGACCATCGGTAATTTTAATATTTCTTGTTGTGTTATTTCAACAATTTACATATACACCTATCATAATTTATTTTTTTATATGTATTTAGGAAAAGAAAAGAATATTTTCCTAAGAAGGCAATAAAAGATATTAAAAACAAATAAATAACATCTTTTTAAAAAATTAAAAATATGACATTCAAATTATTTTATTAATAGATAAATGTTAACACTTTTAAAATTGGTAACTTGATTCTCATTATTTTCATCGATGACTCTGTTAATAGCAACTCTAAAATCGATGTTATTATATTATACGTTGAATGTTGTTATAATATTTTATTTGTTCTTTTATGTTTAATGAGATTTATTTTTCAAGTATTAAACTATATTT